TAATAACATATATGCTGCAAATTCAATGTAAAGTTTATTTTCGAAACGCGATTAATTTAATTTTTTAAATTTAGCTTTAACTCTATCCTTGTTTTTAATATAGAAGAATCCTTTTTGCCAATAGAGCTCTGTATAAGAATTTTCAATAGAAATGGCAAAAACTTTATGTGTAAGATGTCTGCGTAACCGGACCATTACAGGACATTAAAGAATCCCTTGGGATTGTTTTAAGTGCTATTACCATAATAAGAGGTTTCTGGAGAAATTTATTTGAAGATAGCGTAGACCCAACAAAATTTATGTGGTGAGAACAATAGACACAAAACTATGCCTACGAAGGACAATTGTATAATACAGATTTTATTTTGTGTTAACAATACTAAAGTTACATAAGAGAAGAAAAGCAGAACTTGAATTTAAACGTGCACTTATTAAACTAGAAAAGTTACAGTCTTAATACATCCCACTGCTGGGCCTATTCTTTCCCCCACCCTTCCCCTCAATTCTGAAAGGATTATCGAGCAATCAAATGATCGCGGTGGTCCAGTTGGAGGATTTCAAATTTCCTCGAAATATTTTAGTTTTTAGACATGTAGATTTCCTCAAAATGTTACCACTACATAAAAGTGCACACAACAATTTCATTAGTGTCAGCGGGAATCGAACTGTGCTCTGCTGCCTATAAAATTCCACTGGTGATCCTCCTCTAATGTCCACAGATAGCCTCATTTGTGGGATATTTGCCATATTTGGTACGTTTGGCAAGTGGACTTGCAGCAGCAGTTTTTATTTTCTAGTTATTGTCTGTCTCTGTCGCCTCTTACGACTTCCACAAGATGAAAAATGGATCACCTCGTTTCCTGTACGCTAGTAACAATTGGACGAAAAACCTACGCCGGCAAATTATTCCACTCCCTTGCAGTAAGTATTGCGAAATACAAAGCAAACCGTTGGGTTCTAATGCTTGGAATATCGAAAAAAAGGGGTGAAGAGTTGTCGACCGCCTGTTTGTCCTATTGTGGAAAGTAGAAGGAGAAATTAAAGCATATAATTCCCGCACACACTTCCTGAAATGCATCCTATAGAATACCGAGAGGCCGGCTACTCTGCGCCTGTGCTTGAGACTGACAAGAGTAGTTTCAATCAAATCAAGGTTACCAATAAGCTTCTAAGCTCGTCTCTCCACTGAGTCCAAAACTACTAAGTAGCATTTTGCAGTGTCAGCCCCGTCCAAAGCTGCTCAGTGGTTTTGAAGCACCAGCCCACATGTGACAGCAGTACTCCATGCATGACTGGACTTGCACTTTATATCAGGTAAAATGAAGTACCGCCGCACTCCTGCAAGGCCACATAGTTTCTTTGCGGATGCTTTGGCCTTGGACTCAATGGATTGCCCATAGTTGATGTTCAGATAAATCTCAACCCCTAACAACTGTCAGTGTACTCAAAAGATACATTTCGGAAAGTAGGAGCCAGGGTGAGCGAGCTCCTTTTAGCGGTAAAAATACACGCTTGTGGTTTATAGGCGTCGAATGTCACGAAAATGGTATTGCTCCATCCAGAGACTACCTGCAGTGAGAGATTCGCACGCCCAACTACAGCTCCTCTTTGGGACTGGATTTGATCCCGACTGGCTTGAGCATTCGCTGGTACTTTTCAACAATATATATGCTATCGTCTGCATACCCATAGATTCCGGGAATAAGCAGAACATTAATATGGAGCAGGAAGAGCTATATAGAGTAGCTCAGTGAACGGAAACCTGAGGGATTCCGGCGTATGTCGTGTCTGTGTGTGTGTGTTGTATCGGTGTAAAATTATTCACTCTGTAAATCACGCGGCGTCTGACATTGTGATGGGTAATCCACCTGCCACATGATGCAAATATGGAAAATACTCCCTCCAGTTAAGATGAGTATGTTTAGTAGTGGAAGCGTTATTGTACGATTAAAATTTGAACCCTTATTATATGTTTTAAAATGTATGGAGTGGACTCTTTGTCTTTGAGTTAAAAAAAATTAATCACTCTTAGAACAGATTTTAGTTAACCATTTTTCATACGGCTTTGTAAACTCTTTCAAAACAAGTATATAGTTACTTGAAATTGCAATATACAACCAATAACATATTGACGGTATTATGTCTTGATTGTTAAGACTCCTTTTCTATGTGGTAGGTTCCTTTTCTGCCTAGAATTCAGTCTGGGTACAACCCTCTGTTACTACCGCCAGTTTAATTTTTTTATAGGATAGGATGACAAATGAGCACACAATCCACCTGATGGTAAGTGGTTACTGTGATCCATAGACATCTATATCTATCTTCAATAAAGAATCAAAAAGCAGATGCGTTGTCATCCGTGAGGACTAAGATGGGATGCCTCTTTTCCATTAAAAAGGGTCTTCGGTTCTCTACACTCACCATACGAAACACAGCAGTGTTAAGCTGCTATTTTACGCTGCTATTCTGTGAGAACGTGTTCCTTCCCCGGTCGAGCCGACCCATTCGTGCTACAACTATATTACTAACATAGCTGTAGCATGGCTCTACCACGTATACTTATATTACATACTGTGTGGCATTATATCTTGGTACTCAGAGGTGAGAACGCTTTCTATACTTAGCCATCTTTGTTTGATGTCGGTTACAGGTGTCCAGCTGCAGCCACTTACCATCAGGTGGACTATAAATAAATTTGTAGCTTCAGTTTTTTTTTTGAACATTTTTACCGATCATTCGAAATAAGCATAAATTTGAATCATCCAAACACTACGGTAAGTATAACGATGTATCATTGAAACAATGTCAGACATAAAAGTAGATTTTGGTTAATTTTTTTTTGTATTTTGCTTTGTTTGAAAGATTAGTTTTAAATTAGTCATAAATAATTATACATGTTCTTATGAAATATAGATAACTTCATAATTTTTTGATTTACATAATTTTAATTTGCATTTTATTAAATTAATATTTGTTAATTTAAATGTTTATTTTTAGAGTTGCATATATTGTATGAATCATGGATTGTTTAAATCTAATTTTTTATAATTTCTGTGAATTCCACTGCGGTGAAGTTGCGAGTAGGTTTAGAAGATGCCGGTTTGTACAGTGGTAGTATAGTCACTGAGAACCATTTGAAAAAAATCATGTGAGCATGATTGCAAAAAATAACATTTTTACGAGAAATTAAAAATATATACAATTGGGACATATGGGTATATTCATTGACGACTATGAAAGAGACTATTTCTATGATGCATTTTGAATGCATCATAGAAAATCAAATAATAACTAATGTGACGGCGGTGATTAAATAAATTTGTTTTTAATCTAGTGCAGTTTTTAATTTGTTTAACTTTATCCCTAGAAATTAGCAGTAAGCAATAAATATGAAAAAAAAACTGATACATTTTGTGTTTTGAGTTTTATCTGTTTCCAATTTATTCTGGTATTAATGTAGATAAAACTGTAATGATTACAATCTTAAATTATCGATATTTCTTGTAGGTACCGTTTTCAGTAGAAATGCCTAATACAACAGATGTGACAGTCGAAAAACGTATTTCTTAGATTTGATGAAGTAAAAATGGCTTTTATTTTAATAAGATTGGTAAGACCTATAGAAATTACTGAAAGTTAAATGAGATTAACTGATTCATAAATAATTTGAACAACTACATCAGTTACAGAGACCCGTTCATCAGCAAGCAGGAAACATCGTTGAAGTCCTTAGTAATTTACGCGTAAAATTAAACCTAAACGTAAGCAAGGCTGCTGAGCATGGATCGGGCAAAAATCAACTACTGGGATTTTGCCAAGTAATTCTCAGTAGCAGAACGGAGTCAGAAGGTTGACGGTGTTTCATCCCCGTGCCTCGTAAAGCACGTAAAGTTGTTGGTTCTGAGTCTGATCCTTGAGAGTGCACCTGTGCTTGCGCATACAACACAGGTGAAGAGATTAGCTGCCGTGACCGAAATTCGGTCAGGAGCACATTATAAGAGAATCAACTGAACTCTTGCGTGTTTAACATGGATTATTAAAATTACAGCAGCTCTTGAGGCCATCTTGAAAAATAACTGTTAGTGCGCAGTGGCAAAAATAATACCACGGTCACCCGTTATTAAAATTGGATCAAAAGGTTTATCATTAGGATCAGAGCTAAATAAAATAAGTTATTATATATGAATTAAATATCAATAGAAAACGGTCCCATTAACTGGCACATCAAACTATCTATTGAATACGGGAAACTGATATGGAACTTTGTGTTTCTGTGCATATATAAATTGTTTGTGTACTATGAAGGTGATTACTTTTAAATATTATTTGGAAGTTTGGGCAACAATAAGTATTACGCAATCAAATGAAATATGATTTTTATACTACTTTGCCTTAAGTGTCACTCTTAGAAGGTAGCTGGGCAATAACTATACCAGACGTCTTGCATCCTTGATTTTACTGCCTCCCGCTGGTCTTAGTACATTTCGTCTGACTTAAATGCAGTCTATCAGAAGCCATAAAATGTTTCTGACATTCACCATAGTCTCTTACGACACCCACGGAATGAAATGGCTTGATGATGCACCTAGCGCTGTTATCACAAGGGTTAACGTTTACGAGACAAATTCGTGTTGCAAATCTCCTTATGCAATTCTACTTGTCAACCAGTTATAATCCACTGAATATGGGTGTCTTCTAAAATAGGGAGTATGGTCATAATCGTTATATTGTAGATATTTCACAACTTTGATGCAGTTCCTTGTGTAAACCAAATGGTATTTTATGCCATATTCCATAGCCGCCTCTGGGTGTCATACACGGAGCGATTGAGGTGATATTTCACGTTACTATATAAGAAATAAATTTAGAAAAAATAATTTCACCATATTGTGGGCAAACTACGATTGTGTGTGCCTTCATTAATTACAAATTCAAAAATAAAAGATGACTATAATAGTCCAATATATCTATGAATAAAAAAGTACTTTGAAAAAACTTACCTGCAGTAGAGTCGAGTTGGGGAATAAAAGTTGTCTTTTAGCTCTATGTAAAACATCACTATCCTGGTTTTCGGATTTACTAAGACATGCAGGGATTGATATTAAGCAAATACAAACAATCAAGAATTTTTTTGTGGAGTACATGTTTTTAAATCAACGTTTAAATATGGAGTGAACTACGGGATATCTCGCGAGTGCTTCAATTACGTGTCGATCTGTCAATGGACTTTGGAAACAACAGTGACGTCAATATCCGTAGTATCTTTGAAAAAGTTTCATCCAGTTATTATTTATTTTTGTTTTAGCAATATCAATAATAGACAGGTAGAGTGTTTTTAAAATCTATGAAAGGAATTTCAATTTAGTTTGAATATTGACTGGAAATTGTTATTAAAATATTTTTACTGCAATTATAATTGTAAAAGTTACTTGGAGCTTCTTATTTAAATTATTGCTTTCTTTTTTAATTTTGGAATAAAAAGAAATCAGTACACGTAGTAAGTAGGTATACAATTCTAAATCATTTTCACATAACGTCTCGTGACACGTTTATTGTTGGAAAAACAAATTAGTGCACCGTTGGGTAGAGTCATGTGACTACGGATTTACGAACATAAAGGCTTATTCACACCTATGTGCTGTTATATAAACGATGGCAGTGTGTTTAACCTTAGCCAGTGTTGTCTTTGTGTGAAAAACATTAAAACACACATTTTAAATCAAAGCATTTAAAATTTAGTTTAAAATAAACTACGATTTCGACTTAAGTTATTACTTTAAAAACAATCCTTCCAAAATTACTACAAAAGAAAAAAAATATATCAGACTTTATCTATTCCTTTTCACTAAATAAAGAAACAGAGTTAATAAATATAAGAAGATATATTTAAAATATTTTTTTGAAAATAACTTACATAAATATACGAGTACTTAAAAAGAAATTTGAAGAAAGCATCAAAACTAAATTTCGATTCCAGCCAGTGCTTTTAGACAAAAAAAGCCCACTCTAGCGCAAAACTGTTGCATTGTAAAAATGTATTTTTTATTTTTTTATTTTAAATTAACATTGATTACTCTGTATAGTAGTGCAATCATTTATCTGCCTGCCAAACCAAAAAAAAAAAAAAAAACGAAAGGAGAATGGGTTCGGTAGTAAACTTTTATGGGTTGAATAATACAGGTTGACCGATTAGAAAGAAAAAAAAAATTAAAATAAAACGAAAGAGGAATGTGCTAGTGTGAATACATCGTTATTATCTTTAAAGCAACACAGATTGTTGCAGAAACGTCGGAACTTTAACCGAAAACTTCACGGTCCGACGCTGAGCGTGTAGAGCGTAAGTGAGTTAAAATGTGACGCGTGGCTTTATAGAATTGATTATAATTTAGCTTGGAAATATATAATTTGAATGTATTTGCACGAAAGCATAATGCAAAGGTAAATATTTTTATTTTATTATATTTTATTTAACAAACTCCATCGCTCTTTACAAATATTAAACTATATTACATGTCATAATATCTTATGGTCTTACAGTCTATAAAGATTAACCTTTTTTCTTCGAAAAACATAAATTTGACAGTGCGCTCCCGCATTGTGCGTGAATGAGTGTGTGGTTGTACGTGTATGTGTTACCGTTACAAAGTAACGGTTAATAGGAAAAGATACTTCTATAAAGGTGGAAAAATTAAATAACGTAAATAGATAATAATAAAATAAAAACTTTATTTAGACCACAAACGTGATTTTTTATACGATCATACTTCCTAACCTTAAACTATATTTTTAATACGTCACCCAGGGGGAAGGCGAAGGGGGGGGGGGGGGGGGGCAAGAAACTACGGACTCCCATTTGGCATACCTCTCTCGCTTCATTACATCAATATATCTACACATACTTGCTCGTCGATTAATTTGGCCTATCTTCAATACATTGCAAATGTTCAATAAAATTCCGATGGTCAATAAAATTCCATCTACGGAGTCTGCCAATTTGATTTATCACTTTTTTAGGGTTCCGTACCCAAAGGCTAACCAACGGAACCCTGTTACTAAACCTCCGCTGTCCGTCCGTCCGTCCGTCTGTCTGTCAGCGGGCTGTATTTCATGATCCATAATAGGTATACAGTTGAAATGTTTGCAGAATGTGTATTTCTGTTACCGCTATAAGAAAAAATAATAAAAACTAAAATTAATTAAAAATTAAAAGGGGCTCCTCTACTAAAAACGTGTATTACGATGGTACGGAACCCATTCATTCCTTCTACGTCTCCACACCACCAAAGAATTATTTCCTTAATCCTTCTCCCAAATATTTTTGCAAACTACACTTATCTCTTATCTTACAGTTCTTACCCCATCATTGAGAATCCCTCCTAACATACTTCTTAATTCCAACATTTCCAAAGCATCAATGCCACTCTCATATTTCATCTGCTACACCCATCTTTCAACTAATGCAGCACGATTTGTCATAAGTGCCTTTTTTGACACATTCCGACTTCATACAATACAGAGAAGAGCACGATTTACTCTGTGTTCTGAATTCACTCTTCCCTTTATATCCTTGTTATATCTATCGTCCCAGGTGAACACATATCCTAAATACACAAATTCATCCACATGCTCAACCAACTACCCTTCTACTCTTATTTCACATATAGTACTTTTTTCTCTTAAAAAAACATCATTTCAAATAAAGCTTTTTATTAATATGCTTACATTTGCAATTGGAGTTCATATTTAAGGATACACAATTTTCATTAAAAAAATTTTTTTTTGTTAAATGATCTGTTTACTTGATTGAAAACATGTATTTCTAAATTTTAATGGAGTTAATCATTTTGAATTTTAGATATTATTGCATATTTCTATCATTGGCTTTTTGGGCATCTCTAAACTCAACATGTCGAGGCAGTACAGAAAATTTTAGGACAAAGAGACAAATCAACAGCCTCCCTTTGGTATTTCCCTATGGTGGAACATATAAGGTAAACATTTTCTGTTTAAATATACCAACTTCAGATAGCTATATATACATAAATAAAATTGTCAAATTATCTGTCTGTAATATCGAAATAACTGACTCGCTTCGAGCTAATGGGAATTATTTGCATGCCTAATGCCAAAATACTCAAATGCTGCTCAGTTTTAAGATGCCGTTAAGTCTCATGCTGTCTCTATCACTTTAGTTACAGCGACATCTTAAAATTGAGTAGCCCTTGAGTAAAGTAATGTAAAGTTACAGTCTATATACGTCCCATGCCTCCTCTCATTTCTGAGAAAGTTTTAGGGCAAGGAAATGTCCGCCGCGCTACCTCAATGCGTGTTGGCGAACTACACATATCTTCGATTTTTTTTTATTTCTCTGTCATGCAGGCTTCCTCACGATGTTTTTCTTCACTGCCGAGCATGTGGTAAATCAGCACTTAAAATAGGAATTAATACATTAATTAGTGGCCGCGGGGATCGACCCTAGGTTGCCCGTGTACTGTGAAATTTGCAGCAAGCACCTAGCCCCTGAATTACCAAATACTAAATGCACAATAAATACCAAATAAAATACCAAATACTCAATGGCTTAATTTGCATGACAATAAGGAACGAATAATCATTTTTTAAATTTTTGTCTGTCTGTCCCGGCTAATCTTCAGAATCGCTAAGCTGATTGTAATAAAACTTCACAATCAGATAGACAACAATGGCATGAGTAATCTAGTCTACATTTTATCAAAAAAAAAATCGACGACCTTTTTTTTTAAAGAAACGAAAAATTTATAAAATATTTTAAGAATTGATTATCTTCAACTATATAATGCCACAATAATAGAACTACCCAGGCGAAGCCAGGGCGGGTTGCTTGTAATAAATAAAGTTTTTTTTTCTTGTGATCCGTGCCGTAGAGCGTAGTAGTCTCTTATTTTTTTGCAACGCCAATTACTTTATAAATTTGTTTAGACAACATAGCAAAGCAATGGGATTGAAACACAATATTTTCCGTTTTCTAGTGAAATTGAGACAATCCATTTGACTAATTAACTACGTAAACAAAACACTACGAATTACTTTATTTCTTGTGTCTGTTTTTTAGTATTGAATTAGTTAAAGTGTTAAGTGTTAAATGCTAACTTACCACGTGCTCGACGGTGTAGAAAAACATCGGAAGGAAATATGAATCTCTAAGAAATTAAAAGAAATGAAGATATATAAAGTAATATTATGGAGTGGTGGAAATAGAAAATCCACTATCCCATATTATACCGATGAGTGTCGTAAGAGGTGACAGAGGAAAACAAGTCAGGAGATGAGCAGCAACGCCTTGCTAATAACAACTAGAATATAAATTACTGCGAATGTTGCAACTATGCCAAATATCCCCCTTGTTAGGCCATCAATAGAAAAGTCTATGTTCAGCAGTGAGCTTAGAAAGGCTGTCATGGTAAGGATATGTGAAATTCACCAACACGCATTGGGACAGCGCGGCAGACACTCCCTTGCCCTAAAAACCATCTCACAAAGGACTATGCCTAACTGTACATAACTGTACGAGGCATTCCATCTTAGTCCTCAGGGGTGACAACGTATCTGTATTTTGATTCTTAACTGAGGATAGGTGTGAATGTCTGTCTATGGACCGCAGAAACCACTGTGGTGGACTGTGTGCTCATATTTCACTCCTATTTCTCTCTCTCTCTCTCTCCCTCTATATATGTATAAGTATATGAAAGGGTCGCAGCCCAAACCAAACCAAAGTGACAATAGGTCGAGCATGATTTTACGTGGTAGAGCCACGCTGCAACTAGATTATTGTTGTGGCACGAATGGTTTGGCCCGACCGGGGTAGGATCACGCTCTTACAGAATACTAGCCTTAAACAGTAGCTTAATGCTGCTGTATTTTAATCCGGAGACCCATTTTACTGCAAACGAGGCATTTCTTCTTAGTCCTCAAGAGTGACAAAGCATCTGCATTTTGATTCTTAATCGAGTATAAATGTAGACGTCTATGACGCCACAGCAACCATTGATCATCAGGTGGTCTGTGTGCTCGGTTGTACCCTTTTGATATATACCCTATAAAAAAAACATTGAGTAGCCCACACGTGTTTGCTCTAGGGAGTGGTGTACTTCACATGACACCTAGAGATTTTATTTTTCAATAATACAGGTTTTCTCTAGACCAGATATCAATCATTCTTTCATAAAATTTCAGCTCCTGATTGGGATGGCTTCACCTGTGCCGAGTGATGATTATGTTAGTCTGGCATTTGCAATAAATTTTCAATATCAGTATGTACAATTTCAAAATATAACACAATTGTCGCAGTATTACGTTTTTAACAAGGTCGAAAGAGAACAGAGAGATATTGACCTCGAAGAGCGGAAAGATGAAAGACTTGTGTTTTATAAAGCAGCAGCGGATATGTTACAAATGTAAGGAAAAAATTATTTATTTCTTTGATTTTTAACTGATTAATAAAGTAGGGAATAAAAGTAGGTTTATTATCTTATTGTATATATTTATATAATTCAATTAACTTAATTTAGTTCTCGTTTAATTAATATTTCAGCCACTTCTTCTCCATCAGCTTATAAAAGTCTACTGTTGGTCGTGGACCTCTATGGTAGTAGGAAGCATTTACTCGAATTTCGTGCACGTGACTCATACCGATGACTAAGCTTCTCCGAATCTGCTGATAAATTACTCTTTTGTCTGCCTGTATCATACGCCGCACAATACTGATGTTATCTTCAGTCGTCGCCGTAGAAGGCCGTCCCTCACGGAAATCATCGGTGAGATTAGTGCGACCACGTTTAAACTAGTTGTAAACAGTGGCACGAGATGGGGCTTCATCGTGAAACGCCAATCGAAGTCTATCATAACTTTCTTGTTGACTTAAATGACATCGAAAGTCATAAAAAATCATTGTACAAAAATTTTGCTGACGTGACACAGATAATTTTCAGTTTGCCGCCAAATTGTAAACAAATTAATAAAATACATATATAGGACGTATAATGGGTATAGTACAGAGACTAATTTTGTAGTTAGGAATAATAATTAATTCATTTATACGAATTAATTATCCAACGAATCGAGGATAAACTAGTAACGGAATACGACAAACGCACCGTTCCACGTCAGAGCCAAGACTGTCTTAACGGCGGCCGCTCAGTCCGTTTTATACAAGCAGGACGGGCGGCGACGCAGGTGCAATGGCGCAGGTGTGCGGTATACGTGTCGTTTACAATAATTCTGTCTAGCTAGACCGATGCCACCGCATCTACAACGGTGCAGGTGTCGTCACGGCCACACTGACATGCGTGCGTCCTCGCACGCGCTCTATCACAATTTTAGTTATCTGTAACAACTGTAATCTGTAAAACATCGTTCGATTATCCTGACAAAACAGCGTCTGGTCCGGTCTATACTGACCCTTCAGACTCGGGTGATAATCAGTTTTGTTCCGGCAGTAAGCCCTACAAAACTTTTATCACCTTTATGCTAGATCGGAATGATTAGTCTGTAGCTTTTTCTATTTTTTTTCTTTTTTTTCAAGTACTGTTTTAGCTAGTCCGGAATCACTATTCCCTATAGCTATATCACTGGACCGGCACAAAGCCCTGCAATGATAGTAAGAACTATTTTTTTTCTTACGCTTTTTTTTTCAAGTACTATTTATGCTAGTCCGGAATCACTATTCCCTTTAGCTATATCATTGGACCGGCAAACGCCCTGCAATGATAGTAAGAACCACATTTTTTTTCTTACTCTCTTTTTTTTCAATTCAGTATAGAACAGTTACAGACCAACCATACCGCAAATATGTCCCCGTCATAATCACACAAAAATGTATCGTGACGGACATAGTGACACGATAACACCTAAGTATGTAAACCAACAGCAACTCGACACATATCCCAGTGCAGCACAGACCAGCCTCCCTGCAACTTCATGTTCCTTTCCTGCACTAGAATAATTACTTCGCTAGTGTTGCAACGTCTCTAGTATTTTCTAGATGCACAGACATGGCTACCTCTGACTGTCTCACGTCCTCGTGCGGTTGACAGTGAACAGCATACGGTCTATCAGTTATCACCACCTGCTAACAGATATTAACTCTTGTTAAATATTACAACGGTCGACCATCCCAGACTTAATTTAAGTCTGGAACGCGCCGATATGGCTACCTCCAGGCAAACACACTACAGCTTTTCGTTCTGCTGCGTTCGTGCTACATTCGCGCCAGCAAGCCGTCGCGCCGTACTAGCGCCAGCGAATCGTCGCACTGCTTTGCAAAATTAAAAGAAATCGAGATAAATGTATTCCGAACCATGGAATTCCGAGCTTTAAAAATTTATCACATATTCTCTTAAGAAACAGCAACTGTATGTCACTTGAAAACATTCCAAAAAAAAAAACAGAAACTATGTGTAGAGACAGATACCACAACATATTTCGAAGCGAAGGAGGAAACTGCGAAAAATCTACGAAAGCCGTCCATTTACAGCGCCAAAGCACCATTTGTTCGGCGGCTGCTTGAAATGCCCTGCCGTAAGATCAGCCGATAAGTAACCGACTGTAGCGATGTAGGCTCAATCTAACCAGCGCTCGGCCGTACCTGACCATGTTCGATTAGCCGTCACAACATCTTCCTCATTGATCATTGTTGTAGAGGCTTCTACGAATCTCTCGACATCAAACCCCAATCTTGTCAACGACACAATATTCGGAGCAAACTGCAACACTGTTAAACACATTAGAACACAAAAAGTCTCTTATTATTTTCAATTCATAGCGTGTTAAAGTTAATCCTTTATTGTAGTACTCGTACAACCCTTAAATGTTTTGAAATTCAAAATATAGCAAATGATAATCATGTTTCGCGTGAACTATCAAATTACAACAAAACTTGAACAAGTTAATTAGAAAGCCTCCAACATTTCTTTTGACATTTGTTAACATATTTAGGTACGTCAAGAAATAATGAAGATACTTGCGGGTACTTTTAATACAAAACAAACAAATTAAAAATATTTTGCTTAAATAATTTCACTTTATCTTTTCTCTACACTTTAATGATACGACAATATCGTAAGTAGGACAGCAAATTTCATTACGGTATTTAACATAAAAACAGAATCATCAATGCAGAATGCATTATAGTCTTTCACAAATGTAATAATCCTCATACTATTCGAAGATTGTATGTGGGCAAAAATGGGGACTTTATCCCACTTCTGATGTAGGACGTATAATGGGTATAGTACAGAGACTAATTTTGTAGTTAGGAATAATATTTAATTCGTTTATACGAATTTCTACTTCTTACGGAATACCAGGTTTTGTTTTACTTCGTAACGATCGCATTAATAAAAGAGGAGGTGGTGTGGCAGTATACCTGCGAAGTGGTATACCTTACAAAATTTTATCAGCCTCACCTTCACAATATACTGGATCAGTTGAATATATTTTTTTAGAGATTGTTGTTAGTGGAAATAAAATTGTGCTTGGTACAATTTATTGTCCACCGAATTCTAGTTATTTATGTGAATTTGAAGAGGCACTTCTTTCAATTTGCTCTGATTATCAACATCATATTTTGATGGGTGACTTTAATACGAATCTTCTTAGTGATACTCCTAGATCGCGTAGTTTGCGTTCAATTATTGAGTCGGCAAATTTTTCAATACTTCCACTTGATACCACCCATCACAATCTTACTGCTGATGATACATTGTTAGATTTGATATTTGTCTCCTCAGAAGAACGCGTTGCCTGCCACGGACAGCTACCCGCTCCAGGTTTCTCGCGACATGACTTGCTGTTTATTTCCTATAAAATTAAACCACCTAAAGTAAAGCCAGTTATAGTACGTCTGCGTAATTTTGCTAGGATAGATGTCGAAGGGCTCAAACATGATGCTTCGCTTTTAGACTGGAGCGATACATTTAACGCAGAGAGTATTGATGACAAGATTACGACATTTATTTCTCATATTCATAAGCTGTTTGATAAACACGCACCTATTCGTGACGTTAGGTTAAAACGCTCGCCTGCGCCATGGATTACTGAAAATATTCGTAAGGCTATGTCTAAGCGCGATCAGATGTTTAGAAAATTCAAGCAGAACCGTAGTGAACTTAATTGGACAAAATTCAAAGTTGCGAGAAATCGATGTAATCAGATGGTACGAGCCGCTAAACGCCGCTACATTCACGATAATATCATAAACTCTTCTATGGCTAATACATGGAAATTTCTACGGACGATCGGGGTCGGTAAGCCCACGTGTAACGTGGACCCTGCAATCATTTCTATAAGTGATCTCAATTTACATTTTTCTTCAACTACCCAAATGCAGGACTCTGTTAAATCAAGTACCATTTCTTATTTGCATTCCATGCCACAATCTCATAACTGCACATTTAACTTTTCTCCCGTTGCTGATGAGGATATAAAAAAGACCATTTATTGTATTAAGTCTATGGCAGTTGGCTTCGATGATGTGAACAGACTTATGATCACCTTAATTCTAGACTATGTTACTCCTATTATTACTCACATCATTAACCATTCACTATTGACTGGGGATTTTCCTTCACTTTGGAGAAAAGCATTTGTCATTCCGCTGCCCAAAATAAATAACCCCAGTACTTTTTCTCACTTTCGCCCAATATCGATTCTCCCGTTTTTATCTAAAGTTCTTGAAGCTATTGTCCACAAACAAATTTCTAGTTACATTTTCAAAAATAACTTTCTCAGCACATATCAATCTGGTTTTAGGCCGGGGCACAGTACTACCACAGCTCTTTTGAAAGTTACGGAAGATTTGCGTACTGGAATGGAGAACTCAAAATTGACAATGTTAATCCTAATAGATTTCTCTAACGCTTTTAATGCTGTCGATCATGACATTCTTCTAGCTATACTTTATCACCTAGGTTTCTCTTCGTCAGCGCGGGACTGGTTCTCATCATATCTTCGGGGTCGTCAGCAGGCAATTCGAGTAGGTCAGATTATCTCTGATTGGTGCTCGTTGTCTGCTGGCGTTCCTCAAGGCGGAATTCTCTCTCCTCTCTTGTTCTCAGTCTTTATAAATCTCATTACACCCCACATTCGCTGTTCGTACCATCTGTATGCTGATGACTTACAAATTTATGCTCAAGCTGAGGTGGCATGTATCGATGATGTGATTGAGAAGCTCAACTGTGATCTCAATTGTATTTCTAATTGGTCAAACAGATTTGGCATTAGGGTTAATCCATCAAAATGTCAGGCTATTGTAGTTGGTAGTTCTCGTAGACTGACTAAAATTGATATGAAGGCGTTACCTCCCATTATATTTAATAATGTTATTGTTCCTTACTCAACAACAGTTAAAAACCTTGGCTTAATTATAGACAACACACTCAGCTGGCGACCGCATATA